TGTCCCCAGTGACATTGCTCAGATCAGCATTGGGCTTGAATATTCTGGTCACAGCATATGCATCTCCCATTGCTTTCTGTAGCCTCTGCCCGATACCCCTACCATGACTGCTACCCAGCACTAGAAATATACATAGGTGTATAAAGAACTGGAATGATTGTTTTAAGAGGTAGTTGTGGCCTAACCTGAGTTACTGTATTGAAATTTGCCTGGAGGGACCAAGGTAGATTTGAACCTGGGAGATCCAGAAAATGAGACAGGAGTGTAAAATTGAGAGGTTTGTGAGAAAGTCTCTGATATTAAATAAATTTAATGTATTTAATTGCAAAGCCATTTTTGAAGTGTGATACATGAAAGTTGTTGTATGAGTCAGTTACTTAATGAACAAATGTTCAGCCTGGGTTTGTATACCAAATTAGAGCAGTGTGTTTGGATATTCATTTTCTATAAAACAATATACTGGTTCCAAGACTAATGTTTGTATTGCCTGCATAAGCATTACATCCATTTAGCTGGGAGATTCTGCTAATTATAACTTGTGGCACCCCTGATGACATCAGGAGTAATAGGATGGCAGCTCTGAAAGCCGTTCCACAAAACCAGTTCCAAAATTGGTTTGAAGAGTGCACTAGGTGCTGGGATCGGTGCAAATCTTCCCAAGTGGAGTACTTTGAAGGCGAACACAGTGATATTCAGTAATGAAGTATGTAGCACTTCTACTGCAATGAGTTCGCGAACTTTATTGTCAGACCACATACATTTCATTACAGGTACACTGTGATGGCTGGAACACCACAGAAGATGCTGGAACATCTTCTGGAAACACGGTTAGATGGCCGCGGTGGAGTTGGCGGTGTGGGTGGCCGAGACAGCATCACCTCCTCAACTACTGATCCCTTCCTCGAGGATTTCCTGCTTACTCATATTGTGTTCATGCCAACTCACCAACTAATCACAGAGCTCTCCAGACAATATCCTTTGCAGTTATTTTTGCGTTGCTGTTAATATGCCCACATTCAGGGAGAGTAATCTGAATAAATTTTGTGAGAAGCATTTGCATGTGTGTCCAGTGTTCCAAGCTAGTAGCTGAGTATGAGTGACAAATGCTCTCATGCCTATATTCTTCAGGTGTATCTTCAGAAATACTCTATCAATTCCTTGTTGTAATTTGCTGTCTCAGTTATAAAATTTATAATAAGAAAGTTACATGCTTTCCCATATCCATTACACAAGAAGAATAATAAAGGATAACTGCAGAAAGCAGTATATTTTGAAGGGGGCGGACCTTAGCATTTGCATTAATATTTTGGGACCATGTACTTTGTAAATGAGTAGAATTTAATCAAAATCTTTGGGGCTATTGAGAAAAATACCATTTTCTCTGTCAAACTTCTAGTAAAATATTCAACTAAAATATTACATGGGCACTGTACAGAACCTAACACTTAATAATATCAATTTTACTAACCAACCAACAGATCAACTCTGTGATGCAGTGTCTTTTCAAGTGTTAGATAGTTACTTACGTGGTCAAGGTATTAGCTACTGTTGCAAAGCCTGAAGACCCATCACTGTTGCCATGACACTGTGCTGTCAGAACATAATCTGAGGAGTCACTTCAACAATTAATTTACATCACATTTCTTTGAAATCCATTTCCATGACTTTTCCACCTAAATTTTGCATGAATATCTCATTTTCTAAATGCATATTACATGATCCACCCAACTTATTTTTAATTAATTAATTTAGGAATGTGAAGCTCTATATTACATAGTTCTCTACACTGGGCTGTTACTCAGTCTTATTTAGGTATAAAGAATTTTCATTCAGCGCTTTATGCTCAAGCACTCCAATCTGGTGATGTAGAAAGAGAAACCAAATTTCACGTACTTAACAAAGCAATAATTGAATTTATAGTTTTATAATTGTTATTGTTTTTTGGAAAAAAAAATCATGTTTATTTGACCCTTAATTTCATCATTTATATCACTTATTCATTTACTGTTGTCATTCTCAGAATTGTAATATCATAAATCTCTCCTGTAATATAAATGGTAGACATTCCCGTAAACATAGTTTACTTTAGTAGAGTACCCTTCTGCTGAAAGATACAGATTGAAATGCCTTGACCTGGAAGCACCTACCGGATTGATTCTCCAAGCCAAGACCGTGAGTTCCTGTTAGCCTGTAAGAGACGTGTGGTACAGTTTGTGCATCGTTGGGTTATTACAATCCGACATCCTGTGTTTGATGACCCCAGTTCACTTGCCTTTTTGGAGGTATGTAATAGTGAATTACTGTGTATAAAATTTACAATATAGGTAGGTTTATGATTTATTAATATAATTTGCAAAGTAGTCTGTAGCTTCAGACATCCTGAAAATTCCAAAATATATACAGCACATTTTGCTATCACATAATCTCCTTAATACTTTGCATATGTAAAATCACATATCTTGAAATGGTGATGTCACAGCTTCTTCATTATCAAGAAATCATAAATTGTTAGCACAATGTAAGATGTGTACAGTCTAGTGAGAATGAATAATGGAGGCAAGAACTCCAGTCCTGCCCTGGAGATGGTTACTATAATTGTTGTGTTTAGGATTTGTGTCATATGTTTTAGCTTCATATGCAGACTATGGCTTCATAATTTGAGGATGAGAGGTCCCAGAATGAGCAGACTTGGAAAATCTGAGGAAGGAAAGTTACCTGAGAGCAAAATAATCCTATTTCCTCATGGCAAGAACTGTGAAAACAGCGAGGACAGCCATTACTGAGTAACAGCTTTGCAATTAAACACGTCCTCATGGTAACAACTGGAAATGGGAAGCTGTGCTTTCTATGCAGTTCATGCTGAGATGTTATAATAAGCAGGACTAGTCTAGAGTCAGTCAGTTGAGAGTTGCTGTAGCTCAGGCCAGGGACAGTTTGGAACCCAGAGAAAGGGAAACATCCACCACTGGGAGCTGTTACCAGAAGCATGGTAAAGACAGCAGGCTGAGAAGACTTAAGTGTGTGATCTTAGTCAGTCGAGAGTTGCTGTAGCTTAGGCCAGGGACAGTTTGGAACCTAGAGGAAGGGAAACATCCACCATTGGGAGCTGTTACCAGAAGCATGGTAAAGACAGCAGGCTGAGAAGACTTAAGTGTGTGATCTAGTGAAGTATGAAATGTGTGAGCTAGTGAAACGGTTATAATTACTTGCGGTCACGGTTCTGTGAGATTCCAATAAATCTGATTACCGATGCAAACCCCATCTATAGTCACACTCAAACATGTGACAGTACTATGCATTAATATGAGATTTAAGTTCACATGAAATACCGTATTTACGCATGTATAGGCCGCACATTTTTTGCCAAAAATTCAAGAGGAAAACTGGGGTGCGGCTTATATTCGAAATATTCGAAATCACACTTCATTTAAAAAAATTATATTCATAATTAGTAATACAGGGTGTTCTACTCCTGAAATAATATTCCAAGAAAATTATTTTTTCTATAATTTCTGTCTGAAAATTGTGCTGCAGCCTATACACGCACGCGGCCTATACATGCGTAAATACGGTATGTACAATCTGCATGTTTGAAAGTAAAGAACATTTTGCTGTAGCTTCAAGTAACTTATCACTGAATGGTTTGGTTTTAGGAACTGGCAACAGAACTGGAGACAGACTGCATACAGTGGAGTTCCCTGCAGGAGGAAGCCAGTCTTATGCATCATGTCATGTCCCAGCTTCGTCGATATCAGGATGAACGTGCCCTTAATGCTGGGCAGAAATGGAAATTACCTCCATGTGGACAACCCATCAGTTTGTTCAGCGGTTCCAATGAGGGTCGAACATTGATAAGAGCTACAGATGACAGTAAGCATAGTTTGGTGTGATACAGATCAGGGCATTAGAGCTACAGCAGTTTCTGTATTTTGTGAGTTCATTTTGAATGTTACTGTCATGTATAGGGGGTTGTGTAACAAATAATTGTGGGGCCTAGATTTGATGAGTGGATTTGTTGGACGCCTCTAATACAGTTAACACTAGATTGTAACAGCTCACACATTGAACTCCTTCTTGATGACGAATCTCTCACTGTATTTCTTCTGGATCTCGGGCTGGTTTCGAGTCTCTCATCTTCTGCTACTCACTATAACTCATTGCTCTGTTTGAAAACTTTCATAACTTTGGGAGAACTGCATAGAAATCACCACCTTCAAGAGTTCCAGTACTGCATTTGTCTGCATTGTTCTGGATAAGATGTATTAATTTGGGGCAATGCTTTGCTTCCCGTGTTGGTAGCCCCAAGACATGTTTTAACAATTCGTTTTCTAGCAACTGTCTATTCCTTGTTGCCACAGAAATGTGCTCAGTGAAGTCCCACCCAGCACATGGTCATACTGCGGCTTTGAGGAGTCGTGTCACATTAGGTAACAACATTGTATCACAAGCAGGAATTATTTAACATGGAATGAGATAAAGCAAAGTTTATGAAAGACAAATGGGAAAGAATGAAGGATTAAGCAAAACATTATTGTAGCAATTTCCTAGATAAACTGAGGAAGACCATGAGAAGTCATATGCATGATATTTGGTATCCTATCTGAGATTGAACCATGTTAGGTGGGTCCCTTGTCACCATGGCATGGCACGTCCTCAGGTGGCAGGTGGAGGAGACGCCCTCCAGGTATGGAGGGTAGTTGCGAATATATTGAATAAGCAGTCGCGGACAGCTGACAAAGGGTAGTCTTCCAGCTTGGGGGTTGGGCATGGGGTTAACATCACCACATCACATCATCACATAAAGATAGGTAACAGATGTTTTGAAAATGTGGCACAGTTCAGATATTTGGGAATGACGATAACAAATCGAAACCTAATTCAGGAGGAAATTAAGAGGAGATTGAACTCGGATAATGCTTGCTAACTTTCGGTCCCGAACCTTTTGTCTTCTCGTCTGCTGTCCAAAAACATAAATTTAGAATAAACAAAACTGTAATTTTGCTTGTGGTTCTGTATGGGCTTGAAATTTTGTCTCTGACATTAAGGGAGGAAAATGGGCTGAGGGTGTTTGAGAACAGGGTGTTGAGAATATTTCGACCAAATAGAGAGGAAGTGACAGGAGGTTGGAGAAGACTGCATAAGGAGCTTCATAACTTGTACTCTTCTTAAAGTATAATTAGAATGGTCAAGTCAAGGAGGATGACATGGGCAGGGCATGTAGCACGATGGTGGAGAAGAGGAATGCATAAAGGATATTGGTGGGATAGCCAGATCACTGGGAAGACCAAGGCATAGATGGGTGGACAGTATTAAAATGGATCTTAGAGAAATAGGATGGGATGGTATGGACTGGATTGATCTGGTCAGGATAGGGACCAGTGGAGGTCTCTTGTGAATTACAGTAATGAACCTTTGGGTTCCATAATCTGGGAAGTTCTTGAGTAGCTGCAAAATTGGCAGCTTCTCAAGAAGGGCTCAGCTCCATGAGAGAGTGAGTGATCTGGGATTCAGTCCTTATGTCTTTCAAGTATGAGTTAGAAGTGTTATTCTTGTGCCAACCTATTCTGAATCATATTTTTATAATTTAATTTAGTGGGTGTAGGAGGAAGACTAAGTCCACAAATGACAAATTTAAGATACTCTATTTTATATCATTTATCACCAAAAGGAATAAAACAAAAAGAAAAGCTATCCCTGTAACAGGCCGTGGAGGCAAATAGGTGTGTGAGAGGTCGAGGCTCCCACCTTTTCTAGGCAATCGGCTCATAGATGGCAGCGAGGTTATGAGCCTTATGTGCAGACTCTTTACACCCAGGAAGATTCCTGGTACTAATTTCTGTTAGAGGCTGAGTCGACCCCAGAGCCATAGTGGAGCTGGATAGATTAGGTCAGTTGAAAAATTCATGACCCAATCAGGAATCGATCCCATGACCGTCTGGCTTGTGGCATAGTGCCTCAACCAACTACTCTGCTGCGTGCATCCTCACCAAAAAGAGTATTCATAGTAAGTCATTGCCATGAACATGTGCAAACTTAATCCAGTGGGAGCCCATAAAGCAGGTACACTTTGCTTTTACCTGAAGATAAACATGCAGCCAACCTCTGAATTGACATGCCTTTCGTTATCCATACAGTAAAATTCTCCCATTAACAATATCTAATGAACTAGTAGACCAACTGATGGATGGAACTAACCATGCTGGTTTTTTTTTTTTTTTTTTTTTNCATGAGGCCTTCTGTGAGCAGTTCCACAGAAGTCTTCTGCATTCCTTCCTGAACCATTGCATCCAGTTCACATTGCATAACCTATTTCTCTTAGATCAGCTTTAATGATAATATTTATACATGTCTAAAATTAATGGCCTATTAATTTTACTTTCCTTGTTGGCAGTAATATTCCGTGTGTACTGTGCAGACCACACATACTGCACTCTCCGGTTTCATGTTAACACCACAGCAGAAACCATCAAACTGTCTGCAGCTGACAAGCTGAAGCTGCGGCATGATGACTTGGTGCTTGTGGAAGTGAAGTCTTCTGGTGAACGAGTTGTTTTTCGGGATTCAGATGTCAGTATCCCAACAGGTCTCAGTCTTAATGGTCGCATCTTTGTCTCACCCAAAGATCATCTTGATGCTCTCGTAAGTAAGAGTTTATGAATGAAAACCGAGTTACTAACAACATGAGCTAGCCTAATGTTACTCTTGTGCTTTCTAATTTTTGTTATTTGGACTGTCTTCTTTCAAATTTGTTTTTTCATAAAAAGAAATGTAACAATGCAGAGTAAATGTAAGTTTGTGAGCTCCCTATATCTATCTTCTTTAGTTTCTCAAGACAAGTGGATGAATTTGATAGCTATACCCATGCTGTACACATTTTTTAAAGATACTGTAATGTGACTTTTGTATAGTCAGTCCCTTGCCATTTTATGGAACTAAAGGTATCACAAATACTGGAACTAGACACATCTTTACATAATCCATAGTAACATGTACTGCACATCGAAACTCTGTCAGGAAGAATGTATGTCTCTGGAATCGTCAGAGTGAAGGGTTCAGCAATAGTGAAAAATTCATAACTATTCAACTTGGTATTTTAATGATGCACAATTTCCCCTAGTATACATCTCATTACCTGAAAATTTTCAGACATAAATTCATAGTATTGTGCCATCAGTGCAACTGTAGTTTATAATATATGAAAAGAGGTTTCACGTAAACTTTGTTGATAGGACTCTGATATCGAATGATGCCACATTTCTCATGCCACCTACAATGGTTCATAGTTTATCGCTGTTAAGTAAATATACATTTCCTGAAACTGTTATTTTATTATATCACATTCAATATAAAGATGGTTTTAACAGAATTTGCAATTTTTTCAATGCAATCACACAAATCTCAGGACTTTGCACTAACACATTCACTGCAGTGCCTCCATGCTGGCATCTAACCTGCTGGGTCAGCCATTTGACAACAAAAACTGAATTTTGAATTTTGAACTTAGAGCTTTTAAACTACTATAACCTCTGAATTACTGGATGGATTGTTCTAAAATGTCCACCATACCTTTAATAGAGAGTGTACAGTTAATCATTATGACTACCTACATCACTAACATGATGCTTTTCTCACATGGACCTGCCATGGTAGCTGATAATTCATGGCCTACTTTTCCATTGTAATTTTCCTTTCTTTTTTCTAATGAAATACTCTTCAACTCTGATGTTGATATAACAATATTTATGAGATATATTGAATATAATTTTTTATGTTAAGAATGGCTTATGTCCTTAAGGTTTGAGGATATATTTGCAAATTTTGTGACACAATTGCAATGAACATTGTACCCAGGGCACAGCCTTAAGAAAACATTATTCACAATTCTGTAATTTTATGAGAATTTTTCCTCTTAAATACAAGTATGTTAATGTAACTGTGACAGTCTGCATTAAAGGTGCTAGAAATTTTAGTGTGCAGTGTTCTCTTTAACCCTACTGCTGCCATATTCACCTGAACTCAAATAAGCATCCATTGCTGAACAGGGTGATACTTGACTTCAATTTGTATCGAGAAATAATCGTCTCCTTTCACTGTGCTATTCAACTTAATTCACTGAGCTATGAAAATGCGTTTTTTTCAATGTTTTTACCTTAAAATTCCATAATTTTACAAAAATGATGGGAAAGTTATATGTAGCAAAAGATTAAAATGAAACTGACCATAAAGGGAGGAAGGGGACAGCAGAAGAATTGCATTGTTGGGTGGTAGGATTATTTACAAGTATTTATATTTTATTGTGAATTCTTATATCATTATAATTTGTCTTATTTATTGTTTGTTCCATAGGTATGCTGGATATCAGTACAATTTATAATAATACAATAAAATTTACAATAATATATTAATATTTATAATAATATATTTCAATTTCTGTTTTATTTTTGCTGGTTCTGTATGCATGCTGAATACTATAAAAATCCCTGACTTAACAGTGCTGTCCAGGACTCTGTTCCTTTATTTTCAGTCTTAATAAGCCTCTCAGGATGTAATAGTTTTTGTCTCACAAGCTAGAATCTTTTCTTCTTGCTGCTGCTACTGCCATCATTGTTGATGCTGAGAGAATTAGTCTCCAAATTCTTTCAGTGTTTTTAAATAGTGCTTTCATATATCCATCAGGTGCACTGTGCCATTTATTCACCAGAGTTTTATAATTTTGCGGTCAAAATAACAGATAATTCTTATGCATGTAAGTACATAAATAAATGAATAAAGCTTTTTCTACATTTGAATTTCAATTCTGTTGGAAAACTGTATCTGTGTTTATTTTTATAAGTAAAATTTATCAAAAGAAAGAACGATGATATGATATTAATCTGGACCAGTGGTGGGACAGTCTGATCATAATATACAGGGTGATTCATATAGAACCGGCCCGATGAAATGAGCTCTAATATAAAATATACCATACAGATATTAAAGTAATTTACACATATCATATCTTGGATTGTGTGCCGTGATCAGAGCAGGTGTTGAAAGTGTCTGCCATTTTCAAGTAGGCACTAGAAACACTCACTGTTCAACAGTGAACTCCATGACAGTCGCCTGTGCACTGCAGACATGTTTTGGGATTGTCCTTGACCTTGCAGCATAAGGGCAGCCACTTGCTGGATCATGAGCACACCATTCGACTCAGCACGGCCCACGGATTATTATGTCATAATTGTGAGCGATTATATGCATCACCTGCGGAATTATTAGCAAATTCATCGGGCCAGTTCTATGCGATTCACCCTGTAGAATGTCCTTTTCTATATGACAAAATCATTCTGTCCATAGCATGATTTATATATGTTAGAGACATATTTAGTTTAAATTTATTGACATTGATGTGAATTCTGTGATTTGATGTTCTCCTGTTATCATTACTATATAAGGTATGTGCATTGTTCTGACAGTCTGCCCCAGTGTTATGCTTGCCAATATTTCAGACATGTCTAGCAGAACAAGAGGGACCAACAGAAGGCATGGATGTAGATTTGGAACTGTTCAGTACAAAGGAGTTGGCATATCACATAACACTGTTTGACTGGGATCTCTTCTGGTGTGTTCATGAGGTAAAGTCTAAATTTGAGTAAACAAAAGTTACTTATCCTGAAAACCCACCATGGTTGTGTTTTAGCTGCCTGTATGAAGTATGCAAGTCATCATTCATTGTAACAGTGTAACTGTCTTTTCTTTATCATTCACATTAACAATTTTATTGCTGAAATGAAGATCACAGTATATTCTGTAAAGGTAAATTACTTCAGTTACATTATAATACCAAGACAACAGCATGAATCTGGATTTGGATGCCACAAATTTTCTGAAAAATTAATGTACCTGGTACTTTATGAATTTGCATGCTTTATTTTCCAAATTACTGTGCATAAGGCATTCTGTTCCTTTACATATTTCCAAAATGAATTTCAGATGAGAGTAGGAGTGATGTTTGATTTAAATACTAAGTAGATAAAAACTAAACTGTCTTCAGCAGCTTGAAAATTCCATTAATTGTATTTTATAAATGTCCACCAAGAATGGAAATACATAGTCATGTTTGAAGTACAGATGTTTTGCAATTGCATTCATCATTATCCTGTGTTCCTTTATTGCACATACATACAAATTCTTAGCAGAGTTAATTAATTATAATACAGATACTGCACTACATGGTAATAAATTGTATTGCAGATAGAGCTAGTAAACAATGGAGGCATTTCCTATTACTTACTTTCTGGGCTTTGTCAAATGTCATAATCAGTCTGGTCTAGCAACTGAGATAGTCTCACTCTGGTGGACCTGATCAATAAGGTACTTCCCAATTTGAAGATGGAAAGAGATCTAGTTTCCAAAATGTCATATTGTCATGTGTAGGAGTGACTAAGATGCAGGTTTGGATTGGTAAATCAATTTATTGCATCTTCACTAGTTATAACTACAGTTAGTTCTTACACTCTTAAGATTACTGTAACAGGAGCACATAAAGTCTTCAATGTCTGTTAACACTTCACGGCTGAATCCTCACAACTCATTTCCGTGACAGTTTTGTGTACTTGACTCGTGGTTTCCCAGCTATGAGAGACTGCAAGCGACCTTCACTATCTCCTATAAACCTTCGGCATGGACCACACAGAAAACAAGTCATGTGATTCCTAGTCTCCACTTCATTGGTATGCTGTCTGTTGTCTAGCAACATGCAACAACATTCGTCCACTGAGGCACAGCTTCCATTGTTGCACCTTAGACCATGTTTACTGAGCCAGTGCCTAGAAACGCTTTAAGCAAATCTGTTAAAATATTTAGTTTGGAATACTAAGAAATTGACAAAATCCAGTAATCCAAGACTTACAATTGTTACATACTGTTATAGTTGTCTGTTAGACTGGTGAAGTTGTGTGTTAGAATGTGGGAGGTTCCCACACTGTTATCAGAACCTTTTAGAATTAGTAGAAACATATTCTGCATAGAGACATAAGTTTCTGATAGTCTTTCTTGTATTTTATTAGACACTGTATAAAAAGCATCAAATATATAACTCATACACATATATATCTTAAAGAAAGCTGGATTTTATGACTTAATTTTTTGTATTGTGAGACATCTTTGAAATATCTTCGAAATTCAGTTTGAGTTTCATGTGTAGTAGACTGATACATACTAAACTAAAGTTCACATGACAACTTTTAGCATAGATGTCAGTACCCAATTTCAATATGTATTGCATTTGTATGAACATGTACCTGGATACAGGCTAAACTAAAATTCACATGATAAATTTAACATAGACTTTTTACTGCATATTGACATGAATACTGATACGGGCTTCACTGAATTTCGCATGATAAATTTCAGTCCAAAATAAAGTTCACATGATAACTTTTAGTGTAGACACTCAATACCGAATCTCAGTATGTGTTTCGTGTGTCTTGCTATATGAGGGTGAGTCAAAAAGTTCCCAGAATGGTGGTATAGCACTCTAATGGTAGGACATATGGCGACCCTTACATAATCACCTTCAAATTAGGACCCTTGCATGCACACACACTTGCTCCATCGATCCTGCCATTGTTGGAAGCAGCGGTGGAAGGCTTATTTTGGAATCTTCTGGAGCTCAGCCATTGCATTTGATTTGATATCCTCCATGGTTGCGAAACATGTCCCCTTGAGGCACATTTTCAGAATAGGGAACAGCCAAAAGTCACTCGGAGCAAGATCCAGAGAGTACAGTGGTTGAGTGATGACAGGAATGTTTTTCTCAGCGAGGAATTGCTGCACAACAAGCGATGTGTGGCTTGGTGCATTATCATGATGCAGAAACCACTGTCCTTGCCACATGTCACACCGCTTCCTTTGAACCGCATCGCACAACCTCTGCAAAACTTGCACGTAGAAATGGTCAGTAACAGTCTGTCCAGGTGGTACGAACTCATGCTGCACCAAACTGTCGATGTCAAAGAATGCAATGAGCATCACTTTGTCTTTGGATCTGACAAGGTGTGATTTTTTTGGCCGTGGAGACGACGCTGTGTGCCACTCCGATGACTGCATCTTCATCTCTAGGTCATAGGTGAACACTAATGACTTATCACCAGTGACAATCTTTTTGAGAACCATCGGGTCCTGCATACTTTTGTCAAACAGATCGCCAGTGACCGTCATGCAACATTCCATCTCATCCGTGGTCAGCTGCCTCGAAACAAACTTCGCACTGATGCGTCTCATCTTTAAATCATCAGACAAAATGGCATGAATGGATCCATGAGAGATACCAACTTCTTGCTCCAACTCCACAATGGTCATTCTTCAATCACATCGAATCAGTTTGTCGCACTTTTCCAATAATTTCTTCGGTCCTGGATGTCGAAGGTCTCCCACTGTGCTGGTCATCCTCTAACGTCTCCTGCCCATTCTTAAACCGGGAAAACCAGTTGTAAACTGCTAATTTCTTTAGTGCAGTATCACTGTAAACTTGCTGCAGGGCCGATTGCGTCTCTGAAGCATATTTTCACAATTTGCACATGAACTTGATGTTCGCACACTGTTCAAACTGCGACATTGCGCCGAATGACCAACACTCACGTCTAATTCAAACGGAACAGTAACGACACTGCACACTGAAACCTGTCCAGACCTGATGCGCCTGCAAGCAGACATGCTGAGCTCCCCACCGCAACAGTGTGTGCGCTATCTTATCGCTCGTTCTCCATCTGCAGGGGAATTCCAGGAACTTTTTGACTGCCCTATGTATATGTTGGTTCAGACAAAACTAAATTTCACAGGACAAATTTTGGTATAGACTCTTCAATGCCCCATTTTATTGATATCTGTTCATTAATTTAGAAGCTGAAACATGAGGACTTGCAGGTGGATAAACCTCCAAATTTAGCATTAATTTCATGCACTTCATGCAAAGAATGCAAAAGATGTGATGAATGCAAGCTCTTTTCTCTCATACCAATTTTTATATAATTTATCTTTTCTCATCTAATACAGGTAATTATGAATGTATGGCTCTAAAATTCATACTGTGACAAATTTCTGAGTTGAATTATTTGGCTTCAGTTGTGAAATGCTCAACTATCTTATATAACCTTGCCATTTCATTGAAATGTTCAAAACTCTAATTGATATGCATTGACCTTTCTTATAGTATGAGTTGATATATCACACATTTGGGCGCCATCATTTTAGACAGATTACAGCAAATTTGGATGTGTTCTTACGTCGCTTCAATGAAATACAGTTCTGGGTGGTGACAGAGCTGTGTCTCACACCCAGTCTCAGCAAACGTGTGCAGATTCTGAGGAAATTCATCAAATTAGCTGCCTAGTGAGTAAATATGATTAAGGAAGGGAGGGGAGAACAGAATCATTACAGCACTAGAATACACTCAAAATTTTAAGATAATGCTGATTTCAGATTGAGAGTAGTAATACTTTTTCATAGGACTGGAATATTTAGCTTCAGATTGATAAATAAACATGGCTTGTAAAACATTGACGTCATTGGTGAGCAAAACCATCTGGCTGGTGAATGCAAGTTTCTTCATTTTATTCACAATTTTCTCAGGACTAACAATACAAGTGAGTCAGCTTTTATGATTTATGTTCAACACTTTCTGTCACAGTGACCTAATATCACACTGCCAGTTGACATTTGAATTAGTAGCGATTTGCTTGAACATGCAGATCATATTTTGTCAGTGTTACAGATTTTGAACCTGATTAATCTTCGGCATAAAAAACAACCATGTATGTAGCAAATGGTTGTTTTATTATTTTTATGCTGTAATTCTTCCAGATTATATTCAAATTCATTAAATAATTGAAATTAAGTTTAATATGAAGGCTATATATGATACATTTCCATGAAACTTTCGTCCTCAGGCACAATCACTGATCTCTTCAAGAAGCTGTAATATTTGTTATAATGTCATATTTTGTTTCATTGTCAGTGACTTCAACTTGTGATGGGTTACTTTGTCATGTTTTAAGGGGTGCTAGAAGCTTGATGTGTACTTATTTTCATTCTTGTTGAGGAATAGAGTAAGTGGCACTTGCATAGCCAAGTGATAGTACTCTAGTGTGATGATGTAAGCTGAAACATGTCACAAGTGATTTTTATATAAGAAACTTAACCCTTCATGGTGCATATTGTATGTATAGAAATTTTCATCATATATGAGACTGGGAAATATATTTGTAGATTTTAATTGTTACCACCATGAAAGCCTCATACTTCAACTTGCTTCATAAATCATATTTAGATATGTTAATAATTATTAAATTCATGTGTGATTTTAGTAATGCCCTGAAGTGAAACAAACTAAGCAGCAATATGTTGATTGTTTGCAGCTGTAAGGAGTATCAGAACCTGAATGCATTCTTTGCCATTGTAATGGGGCTTAGTAATGTGGCTGTGAGTCGGCTTTCACTTACATGGGAGAAACTCCCTTCAAAGTTCCGTAAGCTGTACACAGAGTTTGAGAGTCTCATTGACCCAAGCCGGAACCACCGAGCATATAGAATTAGTGTTGGAAAACTCCAGCCACCTGTTGTTCCATTCATGCCTCTCTTGCTCAAAGGTAAAATATCATTCATGTACTGTTGTTATTCTTGTTGAATAATTTCTGATAAAATTTTCTGTATCATTACACATGAAACAGAACTTTTAATTAAGGTACACTGTGACAAAGATATTGTCACGTATATTGGTGACTATAGTCGGTGTATGGATTCTGAATACATTTATTAAACTCTTAACAACCATAACTACAATTAATTATAAGAGTTTCACTGATTCTCGCACTTTAAAAATCACAGCAGCAGCCACTATTTCTTTTTCAGCCTGCTGTCTTCACAAGCCATTCCCTGGCAATGGATTTATAACAGTCTCACTCTAACTACAGCACACATGAAGTCTTCTTTGCACAGCCTAATACCTTTCTTTCCATTTCTTCTAAATCATCTTCGACTACCATCTCAAGAGACTCCCTCAATTCTATTCTGACAGCTTTGCATCCTCGTTATACAGCCTCGGGGCAGATCCAAAAGAAAACACCGTTTCCTAACAATTCCTCTGTAGTTATAGAGGTGTGTTTACCTCGCCATTGCATAGAAACATCAGTTCTTCTACTGTTGCATGAGTGTTCACTTCTGCAGGAACCAGTTTACAGAGTTGTTGCCTGTCAACAAATGTCTACTCTGGCTGTGCTATTCAGCTTTCAGGCGTCAAGTACAATATGTTCAATGTCTATTCTGATACATAAAATAGAAAAGTAAACTTAATATTTAGAGACTTCTGCAACCCTGCAGGGTGCCAATTAAAATCACTTGTCTGTCTGTATGAATGAAACAGTTCAAGAGCCAATGAAAAGATTTTAATTAATTCATCAGAGCTAAAATATTTTGAACAAAGAGAAAAATGAAACACATATTTTATGCGAAGTGCACTTTTTCTGCAAGACTTATGATTTTCAAGACATTCCCAGACACACCCAGTGAGTACACAAGTCTCTTATTCTCAGCAATAATTAGACAGAGGTACCTCCTTCCTGCATTTATATATGTAAGTAAGCATTTAATTAAAAATATACAGTAATTGATTTTGCTGCTGACATCTTTTTATTTGCCTGTATGTGCGATATATTCTGCCTACATCACTCTTCTTTGAATTACCATACCAATACTGTGCGGAGAATACAAATTTTAGTAAACCTATTATTATCTCTCTCTATTACCTGTTGCTGTCTCTTGATAGCAACACCTAAGGACTCTGCTCTTAAACACCCTCACTGAAAAAAGTAAAGTGAAAGCAAAACTTCATAATTAATTTTCTCAACAGATTATGTTGAGTAGGGAAAGTGAATGTTTATATCAGTAATATTTTCAACAGATTCTTTCACTTGCTAAATATTTAATGAGTTGAATATGTGAGGGTGACTATATGGTGTTGTCAGTATGTAATGGCATGTACGAGTGATAACACTTCAGACTCTTCATTAGTACCTGCTGTAGTTGGGCAGTGTGATGATTGTGTTTGTACATGTGTTGTTAGTTATGAACTACAAAAGAGTGCAAGCATTTTCAAGTGTATGAATAAGTCAGCAATCAAGTTAGATTTATTCATGGGAAAATCACCACGTGAGGGTTATAACATGTTGGAGGGGGTTCAGATTCTGCACTTCATTCTAGGAAACTGTTTAATAGTGGGTGAATGCAAGTAACTCCTTGAATGTGGCTTGTGCACACACATGTACACACAGCATTTTATGTACAGCACTGTAGCAGAAGGGGGATCTCAGAAGTGTATTATGTCCTTATTAGACACTTCAGAAGTGGAAGACCTGTACAAAGTACATTGCACATATGGTGAATGATGATCACTGCACCATGCATGTGTTGCTGCTCATCAGCTGTTTTCCAGTGTTGGCTAAAGAGAAGACACACATTACTGGGTGGTATTTGGTTTAGTGGAGTTCAGTTAATGTATAAAATAAATGTGTTAATGATTTGTTACTTTCTCCGTGATATGATTTTCTGGTATAAGAATAAATTACTCTATTGTGTAGATATGACATTTACACACGAGGGAAATAAAACGTGCATAGATGGACTAGTCAACTTTGAAAAGATGCACATGCTGGCCCAGACCATGCGTACCATTCGTTACTGTCGAAGCAGGCATCTAGGTAAGTTGTGTTAAGATTTCAGTAACTATCACTACCAATAATTCCCCCCCCCCTTTCATTTGCTATTCTAGACAACCCTTTTCAGTGTGTCATAAATCAGATGAAAAGTATATTGGTATAAATTGGTTCTTTGTCTTCACACAAAAGGAGAATCTACATCTTTGAAAACAGAGTAAATTATGCTGTAATCTTTGAATTGTATGCTGTAATCTGTAAGGTCTGAAGAGTGGTGAACACAAAGAGTTCAGTCTTCTGGTATATAAAGCCATGTATGCCATTGAAAGTCAGCTGTTGTTTCAGAGGAACATGTTGCCTCCATCTGTAGGTTTGAAGTATAAGCCAAAACTTGAAGCAGGCAGTGAGCAAGATTCAACTTACTCTTCAGCCTTGAGGATGAATGCAACATGTTCCTGCGAAACACTGGTTGACTTTTAATGGATGACACAGTGTTATATCCCAGAAGATACAGCTCTTTATATCATAATTGTTTGTATGCCAGTTTCAGGCCTCTCACTTCTTACTGTGAAGACAGTTGAACATCTGTAATTAATAAAGACTAAAAAATGTTATGACAGAATTAGAACTGTAAGACAAGCATTTTTAAAGATGCTGTATTCATAAACCTGGGAAAATATACTTAACCAAATTATTTTCATGTGTGCTTTGAGTTTTTCACTTTTTGACTCAAAACCTTAATGTTTAACACAGTGCTTGAGCCGCCATCTCCAAAGAGTGAGGTGGAGGTGAGGTCTTACATCAGCTGTCTGCGCACTATTGACAATCAGCGTGTGCTTACAAGTCTGTCACAGAAGCTGGAGCCACGAAGATCATAGTAAAACGGCCATTAAAATTATCACCACAGAAATCTAGTCATTTAATCAACCAGTCAGCAGTAGAAGTTGAAATAAGAAAGGTGTAGGAACTATTTGAAAATGCATACTGATTGCATTTTCAGTGTATCTGAAATCTGTCACAGTGCTAGGAAATAAGGAGAAGAAAGAAACTTGCTGTAGTTTTTTATCAGAAGTGAGAGTTTCTGATGAACAGGATGCTTAAACCAGAGAATAACCTCTGTTATCTAACTATCTGATAGTCTGTGAGTTCGGTCTGGCTGCTAGAAAATAACCATGCTTTTAATAGAACTGTTGTTAGTTTCCATTTTCAGTCTTTTGTGTTATACATGAAGTTCAGGCAGTTTGTTTCTTGAGCACTTTTATTCTCTAACCATGAAGTATTTAATACATGATGCAATATATACTATGGTTTTACTCTTTGTCAGTTTGAGTAAGCACTTGTTTTTAGTTGATTTTATGAAAATTTTGGGGCGTTTCACAATATTTCTCAGTATTTTGTGATTGCTTTAAAGGATAGGCATCTGCATACATGGAAGTGTTCTGTGTATTCATCCCAACTCACGAAAATAATATAACTTATAGAACTCAAGTTACATTTTTTAACATTTCATACACTATACAAAACAATTATGATCCCAAGTTCAAGTTCCCACATTAAACAATGAATATCCTTTTTTTTTATTTCTTTTTAATATTTCTTGTGAGTAGGTGAATAAGGAAGAGAGACACTCATAGCAATATAACACCAGATGATGTTCATGCTATAATATTTCAGTCTAGATTTTGTGAAGTAGAAGTCCTAGTTTACCATAAGAGATCTCACTTTAAAATATCAGTTTGCCCATAAGCTTTGTTAAACTATGTCAGAAACATCTCTGGGGGTGCTACATTATCACACAGTGATGCAGATCATTATGTGTAGCATTTGAGGTTCTCACAGTGGTTATGAAGAATTATGAAGAGATCTTCTCTGACATGATATGTGTAGTCCATTGAAAACCAACTGGTATTTTGGAGGAATATTAGTTGACTTTCAAAAGACTATCATTATGAAAATTTATTTAGTTAGTTAGAATACACTGTGGTTTGTGCAGACATATACTTTCAGAATATTTCCATTTCATGAAGTGCAAAAGATGAAGAAGGAATAATGTCAAGTGTGCTCTTTGAAGAAGCATATGGTCTAAATGCTATTGTGCCCTTAAGTCAGTATCTGTGAATGATCTCTTTGGTTATTGTTTTAGAGCATACTTCCATTCTTAAGGAAAAATAGTAGGCTTATGAAACTATCATTCTGTCTGTATCTGTGGCTGTCCCCCATCTCAGCCTTTAATTTTTCAACTGTTGATCAATTTTCATTTTGTATGGACATTATGCAATTTTAGGCTACCCAAATACGTATCATACTTCCTAATTTCCTACAATCATGACAAAGTTAAATAGTTCTGTCCAGTGTAACTTTTTCATAATATTAGTGTGACGGACCAGAATGAAACATCAAATTCCTACAGTCAGTAATAACAACATGGCAGACATGTGAACTTGTGAGGTGAGAGTTCCACTAGCGCCACTAAATATAGTATCCTGTAATGATGTGTGAAATGATGTGTGATAATATGGTTTTGAGAAACAAGTGGGGTCTTTATAGTGTATGATCAGAATTAATGTTGATATTAACATTTGAAAGGCTCCTTTAGAGTGAAATTTTGATTTGATATTTGGAGGCTTACACTTGGGCAATTTTTTTTTTTTTGTTAACGCTGTGAGAGCCATGTAGAGCATTTACCTAGATATTTTTTTAATTTTTAGTTCCTACCATACAATAAACACTGCAGCACTATTAAAAACAGACTGGCTAATGCCGCATGAAGAAAAAATTACCAATTATTCTGCGAACCGTATAAAACCCATGAGTACGCTCTGTGGAAAAATGCATAGTTTCTTTGTATTAAAGCAGGTGCTACATAATAGCAACCACTGTTCTTCAAAGATTTAAGTAAAAAGTTTTCATAAAACAAATAAAATAAAATGATATAAGAACAACAACAAGAGTAATAATTCAGTTCAATTCTTTATTTACTCAGTTCCTGAACTCAGCAGCTAGGGGCTCATACACTGAGCACAAATACAAAACAGTAGAAACACTATAGATTAATTATTTTTCAAACAGAATCCTGATACAGATGTCTCATTTTCTCATCTGTGTTCTCATTCACATGAATCTGAAAATTAATAGAGTGATGATATTTATTAGATGTCTTTGCACAAAAGAATTATGCAGTAAGATATATCAGACACATACTGACAGATGTTCATTGAACTCTCATGTTCTGCAGCTTATCACATAAAGATAAAATTAATATCCATTCATGTAATTTGTGTTGTGTACTCTTTTCCCTGCAGTAAAGCAGCTAGGGTGTGAATCTGACCACACACCTCCATCTAGAGCTGAGGTCAAGAATGATAGAGTTATACCTCCACTCCCCCATACATCTTCATTGCGTGGGGCTTACTTAATTAAACATAGGAACAACTTTATTTTACTTGCTTTACTTCCACACATTCCAGACATATACATAAAATATGGTAATCAAATTCACTCAATCCTAGCTATAGTATACAAGGGCTATTTGGAAAGTAATCTCCAGTGAGCTGTTAACAAAATATGCAATACAGACTTATGCTCCTTCTCAATGTAGTTACCACTTCAGTTGAGGCACTTGTCATATTTGGGAAATAAGTTTCTCTATACCTGTTAGAGAAATCTACTGCTAGTGTAGTGCTCCTTCATAACAATATGCATCTGCATACAGCTGCTCACATTTGAGCACTGCTTGAACATTTCAACTGGGAGTCATTTGACACCCCCCCATCACATCACTGATCTTCGTCCAAGCTACTACCACCTGTTTACCCATCTGAAGAAGATCAACAGTAATGAGGAACTGACGGAAGGTGTCAAAACATGGCTGAGCTCACAGGCAGCAAACTTCTTTGACATAGGCATACAAAAATTTATTCACCAATATGACAAGTGCTTCAGTTCCAGTGGTGACTATGTTGAAAAGTAGCTTAAGCATGTACGTATTTTTTGTATATAATAAACAGTTTTTTCTCTCATCACTTGTTTCGTTAACAGCCCTCAAACACATCAGTTGATACACCATATCATGCTACTTGTTTTAAGCTGCTTATTACAGTGGTACATGTAGTAGACAGATCCAGTAGTAAAATATTAAATATCCTTGCTCAGTTCACAGTGCAGTGTGGGCAAATTTTCTGGTATCATTAAAGAGTTATATCTTCTGAGATAGAATTCTTCATAGTCACTGCTGTAATAACCTTAAATCGTCAATTTCATATCGTCACATGATTGCGTGGGATTAAAGATGGGTTTGGATTGGTAACTCAGTTTATTGTGCACTTTGACATAGAGGATGACTACACTTTACAGCTCACTATTACACACTATTATCCACAGTCATGTCTTCACTGCTGTTGCTTGGTACACGTTTCAACAGCAGACTTTCCCATTTCTCTCTCTTTTGTATGCTTGTGCTTCCACCTGTTCAATGTGTAAATTTACTTTTTACGAATGTTCATATTCAGACACTTTCTGTCACGATAAATGATATAACCTCCGTCTCAAGTGCAAACAATATATTCTTGTGTCTTTGATCTTGCTCCCTACACTACATGTTTCGGCCTCAGACTGCCATCATCAGGTGTATAACACTCACGTCGCTGTCACACTGCACCCAGTTCAAAATTTAACATCTAAAACACTCTCCCTGTCATTATCAACTTCTACTTCGTTGATAGCTGTCCACTCGTAGATTACTTCACACACGTTAATTTTGAGTTTATTGTAATAGCACCATAATAAAATCTTTAGTTCTAATTTTGAACTTTTAAATTCTTGTCCAAATTTTAAAAATTCTTGTCCAAATTTTAAAATTTTTAAAATTGTTAGGGTTATTCGCCCTGTGTTTGAAGTGCTGCAGCGGCTAGTTCTTGTTTCCACACTGTATAGGTGTTATCCTGTGTGGTCTTTCTGTGTGCGTGCCGCTGCTATTCTTTACTACGTGAGCACACGTATTAATAATGACACTCTCAATTTTGAACATTTGCAATTTACATTTCTACTCAGTGTATGGATGTTTAAGGAAAATCTGTGATGTTTAAAAGTTTAACTATATTCCTTTATGATGTTTCACATTTATAGTCTTATGATTATATTAAAGTTAGAAAATGTGTCCAATTATTACCTACAAGGTTTCTCAGGGGCCTGGCTTAGCTGTAAAATTTCATTTCTCCTTCCTTGGGATAGATGGCCACAACTCACATTTACATTCCACACTCCCTGATTGCAGGATGAACCCAGAAATATTTTGAACACAATGGTGGACACAGAAGTTGTCAAACCAAGCTCTGAGGAAGCAACTTTACTGAGTGAGCTACTGTAGCACATGTTAGGAGTTAAATAGCAGTGTAAAGTCTCTGTACAGCGAAAATCACAGGGTTCAAATCTGGGGACTTTAGAGATGAGGCAACAGTCCAAGCTTTGCTGTATATTGAAACTGAGCTATGTAGCATCATCTGTACTATAATGAAAACACTTATGCTAATCCTTGTGTGAAAATATTGAGAAAGATCAGTGCTTAGTGAGCCAGTACCAGAGCTTGAAGAGAGGGATTAGAACAGAGGAACAGCAATGCAGCTCTACTGCTAAGCTTTGTTGTTTTTCAAGTGTTGTCACATGTAATGTAAACAGAAAGGACATGGTGACTCGAATGATTTCTCTCACTGTAGGGTAGTTTTCTTTCCTCTCCCATCTGAGATGAAGCTCAGAACTGAAAGACACACAGTCTTGTAATGATCCAACTGTAATGAGAACCACCATGCAAATATTAATGAAAAGAGCTGGGTCTATATAGTGACAGATTTCTATGTAGTATGTCTTCTTCAGTCTAAAGACAGTATGATGAATGAGCTCATATTGAGCAATTTCTTCTTCTTTCCTAACTGACATTTCATATGGCTGAAATCTTCAATTTGGTGGATCTGCAAATGATGACGCTCTGTTATGGTATGCATAGTAATGCAGTAGTTCTTCCAAAAAATCAGTATTACATACCTAAATCAAATTAAGTATGTATTTCTGTTCTAAAGTTTACACAGAAATTCTTCCATATTCTCTTATACACTTGAAGGTTGCCTGAGATTTTTGATAAATTCCTCCAATTATATATAAAGATCTTCCTTAAAAAGTCGCTTCATTCTCATTCATTTCCTTTGTTGACATTATGCAAGGTAGAGAACACATAAAATAGTAAAACATTGGTTATCTTTGTATTTTGATTCTCATACATTCCAAATATGAAAGAAACATGGTTGCTGTAGGCCTTTTTGTATGGAAACAAAAATTACATAAATATGGTTATTTTAGAGTAAATAAAATGTTACAGTTTTGTAAAACTGCATAACACAAACATACCATTGTATTTGTTTCATGCAAAAGACTTGATTTTAACCTGTTCACTACTTGCATGACGTGTTAACATGTCATGTTATGATCCCATTACTTTAATATGATTAAGTAGAATTACAGGTTTAATATTTTGTACACTAAAGACGCTTCTAAAGGGTATTAACTTTCTGGAACTTCTTATGACTTATATTGTCAGGGACAATAGAATTTTTCAAGACCAATACACAAGCTGTTACAGTAGTATAAGAATCCTAGCGGTTGCGCCATAGCTCAAGTGGTTAGTCACTGGCTTCCCACCGTGGCGGCCCGGGTTCAATCCTGAGTCTGGTCAAGTGGGATTTGTGGTGGACAAAGTGGCACTGGGGCAGGTTTTCTCTGAGTACTTCGGTTTCCCCTGCCAATCTTCATTCCACCAAATGCCCCACAATCACCCTCACCTATCATCTGGAGCTGGTACGATAGGCCAGAAGTGGCCACAGTACAAGGGACATAGTCCCGCCCCACTAACAATAAAAAAAAAGTCAGAATCTTGAAATAGGCACATGTCACATATCTTTTTCCTCACAATTTTTGAACTCATGTGCAATACAGAACCCTCTATAAGTGACATAAGTAGTGAAGTTTAATTTTATGAGTGGAATAAAATGGCTGCAAAATATTTTATAGATCCCTCTTCCTCCGGTGTATACCCAGCGCACAGTTTTATACTCTTCATGTCTTAAGGCAGCAGTAAATCACTTACACTGACATTCTATTGTGTTGGCTATACAGTACAAGTATATCATACAACAGCAGACATACATTCTGGTCGCTTCTTTACTGTATTGAATTAGGAACATCTGTGTTAGAAGCATGCACTGATAGTCTGGTGCTGTACAGAGCTGTATTGTCTGAGACATGTGTAAGATAAAACAGCAACAAGAACAAAGATGATTTGGACAGAAGCAGAAGGAGAGAGAGCTATTTTATTTCAAAATCTGCCACAGAAATTTGTTTTTGAAGTGAGATGATGAGGTAAACATGAACACCAATTCTTTTTTTAAGTAGAAGTGAACATTTGGAAAAGATTTCTTCTTTCCAAATTATTTAAAATGTAATACTACTTTTTTACAAGACAAAATAAACTGTTCAGCCAAATGAGAGGTCACCTTAGGGCTGTCCAAGTGTTGACACATCAAATAGGACTGGTGTCAATTAAATGGGTTTACTAGGGTATGTGCAATAATAATAATTTTAAAATTGTATTATGTAAAAAGAAACATAAACCAACATAAGAATACCATTCTTCCAAATGTATTAGATAGAATATTGATACAAGGTAGATCAGAAATACAGATGTTCACATTTCTTTAGCAATGTGGAATAGTTATTACATTGTTTATACATGAATATGCAGAATTTGTAAGCAGAACACCACTATGATATTTATTATTCATGAATCTTATGACAGCATTCTGAAATGGCTTAGAAGGCAGTTCAATAATTACACTATAGAATTTCAAAACTTTCTTAGCCAGTCACCTTACTAAACTGAATAATGATCATTTTGTATGCATAATGTTTGCAGCCATTTTTATCAATACTGTATTAACATGAATTTTTATTGCATGGCAATCCTGATAACTGTGTTATAAATGCATTCTTGTATGGGGTTTTATGGAACACCATTTCAATATTTTGAACACATTTTTGGCTTATAAGCCTTCTTAAATGTGGGATTGTTGGATAAGACAATCATATACATATATACTTGCAATTCAATCAAATTGCCATTTTGAACTGTACAATCATATTTGTTGCATTACATAGTATTTTACTATGGCACATAAAAAAGTTATATTTACTAAGATTTTGGATATATAAATTTGAAATGGTTGATTGATGTTAGTACTCTGCTACGAAATGGCAGTGTGGGAATTATAATATTCTGTACTTTAAAAGGCAATGTTAAGTCATAAAACAGTGTGGGAACATCCCACATACTATCATGCTGTTTCGCCAATCAATGGACAACACTCACTCCTAAGTCAATGGCACATTGCTGCACATTGCTGTCAGCTCTCATATTTATACAGCACCCGCTGTCCAGCTCGCTTTTCACCATCACGCGCGCTAACCAATCACATTGCTGCCCCCACTCATATTTATACAGCACTCGATGCCCAGCTCACTCGTAATCATTACAAGCGCTAGCCAAGCAGCGCTCACAATAGCAACTACAAGTCTAAGCTCCGCCCACCAAGATTGGTATAAAGGGTGCTCCACCGCGGTAGATAGAGTTTTACGGCCATTCGGCTGGTCTGTCTGGCCGGTGATGTAGGGCTGTGTGTGCCGGTAGAAATAGGTGTTGGCTAATGTTGCGGCAGCTGAGTTAGTTGTCTGGTCGCAGTGCGGCAGTTGCCGGAAGTTGCCTGGTCGTAGAGCGCGGTTGCTGGAAGACGTCTGGTCATGGAGCGCAGTCACTGGAGTGGCGGCAGCTGCGCCAGTTGCCCGGTGTGTTGGGAATGACCACCGGAGAGCCGAGGCAGCCGTCCCTGATGCAGTGAAGAGCCGATGACTCTGAAGACCGATCGCTCTGGACTAAGTGTGATGGCTGACTGGCTGGTGTGGTCACTGATGATTGCTGGGTTGGAGCTCTGTCTTTTATACCAATCTTGGTGGGCAGAGCTTAGACTTGTAGTTGCTATTGTGAGTGCTGATTGGCTAGCGTGTGTAATGATTACAAGTGAGCTGGGCATCGAGTGCTGTATAAATATGAGTGAGTGGTGGCAGCAATGTGATTGGTTAGTGCGCGTGATGGTGAAAAGTGAGCTGGGCATCGAGTGCTGTATAACTATGAGAGCTGCCAGCAATGTGCAGCAATGTGTTATTGACTTAGGAGTGAGTGTTGTCCATTGATCGGCAAAACAGCGTGATAGTATGTGGGATGTTCTCACATCAGCAAATATAATTTGATACATGGAATCATGTCAGTTTAACTCTCCTAACATGTTTCCAGTTTGTATAGATTTGGTTGGTTTCAGTGTCACTTGAAAGTAACGGCACTTTTTCTTGAAATGCAGTGCCCTATAATTTCCTTGGAGAGTGATCTTTAAAATATAATTTCTGATTTTGTCTGTCTGGCATCACACCTCTAATAAATTTTGAACCAAGTTATCAATTTTAATGATACTTAGTATAAATATAAGAGGTGTTCAATAAGTAAGGTTCCCTAGCCTGTAATGTTTGTGTTAAGTATTTTGATTTTTCATAGATGGTAGCACTTGGTAGGAGTAACATGGAGCAAATGGCAACACTAAGGAGGTCATGGTTGTGAATGCAAGAGCCCAACTATACTGTGACAAATTTTTTAAACTCATGCCACGATGGGAGAAATGCACCAATGTCATCAGGGATTAGGTTGAAAAATATTGATAATTCACTGGAATAAATGAGCTGCATTTGATGCTGTAATCATCTCTCATTTAATATGTATGACATAGGGAACCTTACTTTTTACACAACCTTTGTATGAAGATACTGGAGGCAACTTCCTGAGTATACATATTAATTCCCTGCAACGAACAATGTAGATATAATGGTCGCGCAAACTTCTGAAATCAGAGAAATATTATTAGCATACACTAAAAGGGGTTGAAATTTTGAATAGTATATATTATAGTAGGCAGTTTCTGGTAACATTCAGCTGACTGAGATTCTGTTTCCTGTGACAAATCTGGTTGTTCAGTTATAGTATGGGCATCAAGAATATGAAGAATGATAGTGTTGGGCCCCAGAGCTCACTTGCCTTTCATCACTTCCTAATTTGTGTATGTGTCTACATATCTCTGTTTCTATACAACTGTCTCTTAATCACTGTATTATATACTGTTATAATTCTCAAATCTTCTTGCACAGTTTCTAATTGTAATCATAAGAATGTAGGAATGGATCCATTGTTATCACACAGTGCAGCATGTCCATAGTCAGAATTACAGTTTCTCTTTCATTTCTGTGCACATGTTTGTGAACAAAACTAAGTAAAAAATTAGAAATTAATATTAAATTTTTGTACAATAGTGGTCTCACTCTGATTATTAAAATCACTTGGACCACTTCATAGTGAAGTTGGTAATATTATTTTAAAGGTATAATTATATGTGATATGCAAATAATATGTCACTTTAATGAAGTCCATCCCTATAAAACATATAATAAAAATACGTTTCAGATAACAGTGTATGTTGCAATAACGTGCTGCACAAATAAACTAAGGAAGCAAAGAATTGTATATTTAACCTGAATGTGCCCATGTTGCAAGATATCTAGATTATGGACTTTTCATAGATGTTCATACATTCAGATCTGTCCAATGAGATGTCTTCATATATAATTTATTTCATGTCAAAAATAGAACTTTGAGAATGTGAAGAATGTCCCCCCCCCCAACAGTTCACAGCACATGTTAAATTGTAGGACCCCATCTGCCAAGTGTCATTGTAATGATCACCTTAATCGCTGGGTATAACAGAATGTGTCCAGTGGGTGCTCTCAGCACAGAAATGGATTCTACACCCTTCTCAGGGTGGGGAGAGGCCAGAAAGATCAGCACAGACTGTATCTAGAAACATTAGACAAACAGCAACAACAGAACAGACATCAAAGGACCTAAGGTCTGGAATGTCCTCCTGAATTGTATATATGGGAGAAAGTGAGCTCGGTAGGATGTCTTTAAGGATCTCATACACTTATTCCTTGGAGAAAAACAAACATTTCAAATGCACAGTAATGGACTAAAGATTTTTACATATGCAGTGTTTCATTATTATAAAATTAAACCACAAGAGAACATTTCTTATGTAACTGAGGTCAACACAGCAGTATGTCATCATGCAGATATCCCCATGAGGACACTTCCTGTCAGAACACTGTATTCAAGATGTCTGCATTTTTATACATGCTTCTGAAACATTCCAAGACTTTATAGTGGCATTGTTAGTGTTGTAAAATTATTTTCAACAAACTATTGTAACTTTTATTATTAAAAAAATACAAAAATAACATATTCTCATACTTCAATTGGAAGTTTTCTTGCAACATGGTGCAATTCAGAACTTCAGTGCTACAACTTCTATAATATAACAAGACTCTGATAGTAATAAGAATACCTGAGATAATAACTATTTTGTATTCTGCATTTTCCAGTATTTACTCCTTGAGACAAGTCTGTTGTAAATACTTAAGCATGGTAAAATATTTATATCTTTTTTTGTTACAAGTCTTCAATAACAAATATACATTTAAAATGGCGAAAAAATGTGTTTTATTGTTGTGGTAAAACACAACTGCATGTGATTTGCATTCATACATGCCTCAGGTCAGAGATCAGGTCAGCAATTCCCGTATGTGTTGTCAATTTCTCTGGCTAGGTACAGAGACATCACTTGCACACTGAACATTTCTGCTGTGCACAAACACCACATCAGTTTCTGCATTCTCTGTCTAGTCACTTTCAGTTTATTTATTTATTTATTTCATCTCTATAGATCATTGTTACACAATACAGGACAAGTCAGTTACTGTACATTGGCTGATTACAATAAGAGAATAAAGTCATTGAGTACTGAGTACTGACATGGGAGGAAAGAACTTCCAGCTGCTCCAAGTACTTGGGCCTCTACTGGGCCCACTGTTATGCCCTTAATGTTGGCCAGGGTCTTTAAGATTCTTGACTGTAGCTATAGCCGAAACCTTCCAGATTGAGGCCCTATTAATATCAATCAGCTGTACCCTTGCAGAGCCAATGGTTATAGATCCATATCCAACCAAACTGAGCATTGACATACTTCTCTTGGTCTTCTGGCAGCGGGTTGTCCAAGCCACCTGTCATTCACTAACAGGGACAGCTGAGCCCCCATCCCTGCTCCCAGCCAGTCCCACAATCAAGCCCTAGGCTAGCCTTAGTTAGGATGTCCAATTTCTCCAGTGCATTTAATTACATATAGACAATATACTAAAAGGCTCAAAATTATGGACTAATTATGCCTATGTTTATGTCAAGTACCAATAAACTGTTCTTTTGAACATTATAAGTAGTAAATGAGAGGTTATATTTGACAGAATCAGAACAAATTAAATTTGCTCAGTGATTCTTAACAGGAACCCCAGAAATCAAGGGGAGCTGGGATAGCAGTCAGTATAGCAAATGGCTATGGGCTGGACAACTGAGGGATCACAGTGCGAGTCCTGGTAGGATCAAGAATTTTCTCTTCTCCATGTCCTCCAGACTGGCTCTGGGGTCCACCCAACCTCCTATCCAAAGGGTACCGGGTCCTCTTTCCTAGGGGGGTAAAGCGGCCGGGGCGTGAAGCAGACCACTCACCTCCAACTATTGCCGAGGTCAAGAAAATGTGGATGTATACATCCACTCTCCCATACGCCTTCATGGCGTAATGCTTAATTAGTTAAGCATAGGGACAATTTTACCTTACCCCCCAATATCAAATATAACGGAAGTAGGCTGAGTAGTTTTGGAGACAAGACACTTATCATAGTTGATATATCCATTATGCTTTTATTTAATGCTGTAAGCGTAAAGAAATCGCAGTCAACTTACTATTCACCTGTGCTCTTCAGCCCGCCTTGTTTTAAGTTCCTGCATTCGGAATATCAACCAACCGTGTCGCATAAGAATCATGCTTGTATGTAGACCTCAGGAAATGCCGGCGTTAATAGGAAATCTGAATTGGAGCCAGTGAACAGTCCTCCTTGTCCATTTAATTTTTCGATCTTAGCGCCTAAGCGGGTTTCCTAAATGCCGGCGAAGCGATACGTGGGTCAAACTTCACAATTGCTAATACCGGTGTATTGTTATGCTGTTGTCAGTTAGAGCAACTACGTTTTACTAATGACGTTCAGTCCAATGAATATGACGAAATAACAATACAATAAAAAATGAAAACTGCTAATATTTGTTAGTACGTGTTATTGTGCCGTGCCTACATTTAATTTAAATATTTACCTTCTTCAGAAATATATGTCAATTTTGAGGATTTTGAAAGTGACAGCTACAATCTGTTGGCAGCAATGAAGCCATCGAAGGACTAAAATGGCTCTGAGAACTTACGGTGACAAGCCAATTAGTTTTCAAGTAGAAGAAAATGGGGAGTACTACTGTATTGGATCTGAGGTGAGTGTGTTAATTTAAAGAATTATGTTCAATTATTATAATAAAAAAGAATTCAGATTTTAACTGACGCTCTTTAATAAATTTCAGGCATCACGTCAGTTCGCTTGGTTAGGTGCATAGGTAATTAAATGGTACGAAATCGTTTGGCAGTTTACCGTAATATATTTTCTCCGTATATGATTAGTATTCTCATTCTTAGATGATCCATGATTGCGGTATATTACTTATGGGTTAATATTCTACTCAACATGGCGGAGAAATGCAATATATATATATATATATATTAGTTTTGGAGAGGTCCAGATTATTCATATGAAAACCAACCACCTTCGCAGATCTCATTTTATTACTTCTGTTTTTTGTCCCACTATTGGGAGGAGATTCAACCATTGCATGACTTGTAATGACATGACTGAAATGTATGAAGACAAGAAAAGTCTTCATTCCTCACAAGGGTAATGACATATTCCATGTTTAATTCTGTGACTGCCAAATACATGTCAAGATCACTTCGATATAGTGACTATAAGATAGATGGAGTGGTAACTACCTGATTTCACAACTCTTAAGTATTTCTTCAGAGTGCTGCCTTTGCGACAGTTTAATTCTTGGAATGGCCCCGTGAAAGCAAAATTTGCCTACTTGTACACTAACCACTGTTCTTGCCTTCAAAATACTCTCCTTGTGAAGCTATGTACTTCATGAGATGATGGTGCCACTGCCGGAAACAGTCTTGTAAATCGTTTTCTGGAATACCTCACAGTAATGTCATGTTGCGTTGGATGACAAGAATGTCAGCAAATGTTTATTCCTTCAGGGCATCTTTTAATTTTGGAAAGAGTAAAAAATCACAGGGGCTGAGTCAGGTGAATAAGGTGGATGGTCCAATTTTGTAATGGATTTCTTAGCCAGGAACTCGTGAACTCTTAACGCATCATGTGCAGGGGCATTGCCGCGGTGGAGAATCCACTTGTCAGGCCAGAGTTCAGGTTTTTTCCTTGTCAACACTTCCAAATAACACTGTTGATTACCCATTTGTCCTTGTGCAATGAACTCTGTTCTGATTTGCATCTGTCCTTTGCATTTTTGGCTGCCCACTTTTTGGGTCATCTTGCACACCTTCTTGCCCTTCCTTGAACTGCCTATGCCATTCAAAAACACTCACTTCTTAATAGCATATTCACCATAATAATACTAATTTTCACTAGCACTTTTACCAGTCTTCACACAAAACTTGATGTTTATCTGCTGCTCCAGATTCTTTCCACTCATTTTACTGCCAGCAGTCACATGCTACTTCCTCAGCTGCTTCAGGACGAATGACTCGAACAGAAGTTAGAACATGTCCACACGTGCTTGGGTACATGAGTTTGCCTGACTCAACACCCCAGTGATGGGCTGTGGCCATTCTGGAAAATAAATTGTCAGAACTTCTACATGGGCAGGGGTTCCTAAAGTGAGAGTCCAGAAGTCCGTGTTACTGCAGTTACCTCTTTATAACTGGTGATTGATTCTTAAACTATTTAACAGTGCTCTTTCAGTTGCACAGTTTGTATACTTTCTCGTTAGATGTAAATAGATCATGAATAATGCTATGGATTTAACTTTGTAGGGATCAAGATAAGGATAAAAATGTTGAAACAGTGCTGAAATACTACATTATGAAGGCATGCAGGGAACATACAGTTGTTATTTATTTATTTATTATTATTATTATTATTATTATTTTGGAAGGGGTGGGTTTCCCCAAGCACTGCGACTAGTTGTTAATCTAGTGTGCGTCCCCCTGTAATTATTCTACCAGTCGCCATGCCCTTCCAATACTGGTGCTCGCTATCAGCCCCGGTCAGCCACCTCTCTGGCAGTGGTCCCTGATACTTCCCCATCTACCGGAGGAATTGGAAACTACTTGGNATGTAAATAGATCATGAATAATGCTATGGATTTAACTTTGTAGGGATCAAGATAAGGATAAAAATGTTGAAACAGTGCTGAAATACTACATTATGAAGGCATGCAGGGAACATACAGTTGTTATTTATTTATTTATTATTATTATTATTATTATTATTTTGGAAGGGGTGGGTTTCCCCAAGCACTGCGACTAGTTGTTAATCTAGTGTGCGTCCCCCTGTAATTATTCTACCAGTCGCCATGCCCTTCCAATACTGGTGCTCGCTATCAGCCCCGGTCAGCCACCTCTCTGGCAGTGGTCCCTGATACTTCCCCATCTACCGGAGGAATTGGAAACTACTTGGGAGGGAAACTTTTTTTTGCCTAATTTTGCTCAGAGGTCTCCAAGAGACATGAGGATCTTTTGCGTGCTGTACGACATGGGACACACGGCTTAAAGTCCCTCCCGGAGGACTTGTTCCCTGAATTTTTCCGCCCTTAAAAATTCCACGACTTCCGCCGGGTTTGAATCCGCATACCTTGAGTCATGAAGTGGGAACGTTACCCCTAGACTATGGAGGCCGCTTGGACATAGAGTTACATGCAATCTAAACTTCTGTAGTAAATGAATGTGAGGAGTTGGCTACATGCTCTAGTCACAAGGAAAGAGAACCTTGTGCTTATTGCATAAAATACTGGGTTGGCCATGTAGATAATTTAGATGTAGTGTTGGAGATGAAAATTGGTTAAGATTGTTGTCATCTAGTATGTAACACCTTATAGTTTGGTAGATAGGTAGTGGGTTTTCTTCTACCTTGACGATAGAGGTACCAATTTCCTGCAAAATGTTGGTTCTGTTAATGTAAAATAGGCTGTCAAAATACTGGAGTAAAACAGTATAAGTATTCATCGCAGTTAAATTTGCCTGCATGTTCCAGAACATCTTTTGTTCATGTTCAGGAGCCATCAAAACATGTTAGGTTCATTTGATAAAGATGGCCATTTGTATTGTTTCATTGGTGTATTTTTAGAGTATAGAATACATATATTACAGGCTAATACAGCAGAGTGACTCCAAAAATGGAAGTTGGTACTTTTCTCCCAAACTACATGGGGTCACATCCCAGTAGATCATAATCTTAGTACTTTGTGCTCTGACACGAAAGCTGAAAATATTCTGTAATTGTAGAGAATGAACCCTGGTAATCTGTCTCATAGCCAGTCACTTTTGCTGGATACATATCATAACTTATCTTGTTTAGATATTTTGAAGAAATGTTGTACCTAGTAGTTTAGGAATGTTTTATTCTTCACTTTTGTGCACCTTTGCTGAGAAATTATTGTACTGTATTTTAAAATTCAGCTCATCTCTCTAAAGGACAAGCTGCCTTGTGTAAATGGTATCTCATCAAAGATCTATGATAATATGACCTGTAAGTATTTTTTCTTAAGAAGGGGCACAAGTAATCTTGTATGTTAAAGGTAATTTGATTATATTTAGTTGTTCTTTATGTTGCTAAAATATATTGTCATTTTATCTTACTTTCATAAACTTTGTAATGGTTTCAGTATTCATTCATTCATTCATTCATTTCCTTTATTTTCCATATATCCATACAGGTAACAAACCTAGGATGTGGAAATGGCCCCTTTGAAAATAGATATATAAAAATACATATACAAAATTACATGAGTCACATAATCAAAATCACTTACATTAATCAATATAAATATAAATAATAATATAAAGTAAAAAAATTAATAAGCTTTTAATTAATAAACATAATTTAAAAATAGCTTATTATAAAATTTGAATTAATAAAATTTTATTTAAGTTACTTGTATTAACTGAATCAAATAAATTACAAATTTACACACTTATGAACAGTTATGTTGATAATATTCATCCATGGAATAAAAAGAATGATGATATAAAAACTTCTTCAATGCAGATTTAAAACTTCTCTCATTAGTAGCCAAAATTTTTATTGTTTAAGGAAGATTATTAAAAACTTTAATACATAGTATATACGGACCTTTATTGTATTTTGTTGGGTTCACTGCAGGTAAATATAAATTATTGAGGACTCTAGTTTTATATTTGTGAAGCTCATTGTTAAAATTAAATAAATGTTGATTATTAATTGTGTATAAAAGTAATGAATATATATACCGAGAGCAGAACATCATTATTTCCAAATTCTTAGGAATGCCCCTACAAGACTCTCTTGGTCTAGAATTCGTCATAGTTCTAATAACTTTCTTTTGCAATATAAAAACTTTGTTAACACAAGAAGAGCCACCCCCAAAAATTATACCATAACTTATAATAGAATGTATATGAACATAATAAATTAGCTTTAATGTATCTAAAGGGACAATATATTTTATATTTCTCAGTTGCCTTATAGTTTAAGATTTTCTGATCTTATTTTCAATTACAGGTTGGGAATTACCTGCGCTTGTTTCGTGGGTCCCTATACAAGAAGTATCCTGGGATGTACCGCAGGAGCATCACAAATGATGAAAGAAAGAAATTGGTTGAACTGGGTTGGTATATTCTAGCAATCCCTTGTGACCTTATCTGAAAGAAAAATTGTTACATACTTCTACACTGTGGAGGAATACTATTGTTATAAATAAGAATTTTGAAATTTGACTGTATCTAAAGTATTGAAATTTCTGATTTTATGACTATAAATTTTGATTATTTTGATTGTAAGATGTCAACTTTATGTTTTTAAATGTACTATTATGTGTATAACTATTGTGGTTATATTGCATGTTTTTATAATTTGTCCAATCATGTATAAGAAAATTTATTGTGTTAACTGGTTTCAATCAGTCTTGAAACTATGCATGTGGTTATATTGCATGTTTTTATAATTTGTCCAATCATGTATAAGAAAATTTATTGTGTTAACTGGTTTCAATCAGTCTTGAAACTATGCATGTCTGGGACTTGTTCCACATCCAATGGCATTTTAGCCCCTCTGGATCTATGGAATTGGAAATACATGTGAAATATGAAATAAATTGCACTTAAAAGACTGAAAGAGTAATATTACCTGAAAGGACCAGTGTGTCAGACTTATGAAGTTGTTCTTGAGCCCCATGCTGTGCACATGAGACAAGCTGTTTGTTAGTCCATAATGGGTTAATGGTCATTCATGTAAAATTAATGTACAGAATGTCTGAGAAGTCAGAAATCAATGATGTAATTAATTTGTATCTCATGTTTCTTGCAGGTATTTGTGTTGCTGAGTCCAGAGGAGCAGATTGAGATTGTGTTGTTATGCTGCCTGTTTCTGTGCCCAACCCTCATGTCCACATTGCAGCACAGTCTCATTTTGCCCTTCTAGGCTTGGTGTCATGATCACTTGCATGTAAAAAGGTACTAATTAATTGTGGAACTGATTTCTGACTTATTGGACATCTGTGTATTATAAGCAAGTTGTGTGGCTTTGAGCCAGATCTTATGCTCATTTCAGGTGACTTGAAAAGTTTGCACGTAAGATTAGTTTTCTTGGGAAAGTTTGCACGTAAGATTAGTTTTCTTGGGAAGGTAGAATAGAAACAAATAATGTTTATGAAGAAAGCTGTCTTCTGGGATGTGGCACCAAGTAGATATTGTGTTAACCGACGTTTCAGAGGAACGTGTCACCTCAATCTTCAGGGTAGAAGAAATCCGTGAGTGAACCAGCTAGAGCAGGTGCAACAGACTCAGTCTGTCTAGATGGCGCCACATCCCAGAAGATGGCTTTCCTCATAGTCACTGCCATGAAAACCTCAAATCTTACAAATAATGTTTAGTTTAGTATCAGTATCACAACTGTGTTAGCACATTCATTGTGTGGGCGATTGCAGTGGGAAACTAAACTTTCCTCCGAATACTTCGTTTTCCCCCTGCCAGTTTTCATTCCACCAATTGCTCCATAATCACCCTCACTTATCATCGGGCTGGTACAGTAGTCCAGAAGTGGCCGCAGTACAAGGGACTTAGTCCCACCCCACTAGCAATAATAAAAAAAAAATAATGCACTATGTGGAATGATGTCACACTTCAAAATCAAAATTATTCTTCTTTAGATGTAGTAGGCCTGAAGACAAATCACTGGAACACATCAGTTGATTATTATCCATGTCTGTATATCATTTCACTTCCGTGCATTAATATAAATATCATTTTATTTATGTATGTAGTTGGGGCACGCAGTAGCATAGTTGGTTGAGGCACTGTGCTAGAAGCCGGAAGGTCATGGGTTTGAGTCCCATCGATTTGGATTTTTTTCAATTGTCCCAATCCTTCCAGCCGCACTATGGCCCTGGGTTCAACTCAGCTTCTAACAGAAATGAGTACCAGGAATCTTCCTGGGGGATAAAGGGTGGCCGGTGCATAAGGCCGACAACCTTATCACCATCTGTGAGCCGATTGTCTAGAAAATGTGGGAGTCTCAGCCTCTCCCAATGCTATGGGCCTCCACAGCCTGTTACCTTTATGTATGTAGTCATCTTATGAAATTTGATCACTTCTTGTACATTTCCTATTTTTTTGCACTGGCCTATGGATATGGGCAATTGTACCACTATCTCAGATTTAAACTTGTTCATGTGATTGATATATTGAATATAGGGCACAGTTTGGGATGTGTATGTAGGTTCCATCATTGCTTTAAGTGCGATGCACTCAAGCTGAAGCATTTATGTTCCTGATTTACCATCGTTCACAAGTTTTGGTAGGATAATGACATTTCTTTTTTTAGCGATTTCATGAGCTTTCTACTCCTGCAGGTTTAAGCCAACATGTATTGGCATCAAGTGTTTCTCTCCTGCGAGCTTCTGAAGTAGAGGACGTAATTGATGGCAATGATGAAAAGTACAAAGCTGTGTCTGTCCATTCATCAGAACCTCCAATTCCGAGGTAATCATGAATATAAGTTCAAAGCAGCTTCTTTGTTGCAGTGTCAGTCACATTTGTATTAAGATTATTTTTAACATTTTTGTAGGGAAGGAAAGTCAAAAAAAAGCATGCCATGGGTGCCATCATTGCCCAACAGCTCACACCTTGATGCTGTTCCTCAGGCTACACCAATCAACAGAAACAGAGTCAGTAACAAAAAAGTTCGAACATTCCCGCTATGGTAATGTATTGTTTTTAAACATTTATTTATTATTTATACTGCTGGAATTTAAACCATTCATTTTACAGCATTGCAGAAGAGACTGTTAAGGGCACATTCAGTTTTACATTTTACAGTATTATATTTCCATGTAGAGGGGCATGTGATAGCGTAGTTGGTCCAGGCACTATGCTACAAGCCGGAAGGTTGCGGGATCAAATCCGGATGAGGTCATTGAATTCTTTCAATTTACCTAATCCTTCCAGCTGCACTATGTACGTGGGGTCTACTCAGCCTTGGGCACAAATGAGTACCAGGATTATTCTTGGAATATTCTTGGGGTAAAGGGTGGCTGGCGCATAGGGCTGACAACCTTACCGCCATTTATGAGCCGATTGTCTAGAAAATATTTGAACCTCAGTATCTCACAACCTTATGGGCCTCCAAGGCCTGTTACAGGGATACCTTTACTTTACTTTACTCGTATATTTCCATGTAGATATTGCAGAATTTATAAGGGTATAAATTTAAACTTCAGATTGATAGTAATGTGCTTGTCTTAACTTAGGTGAATTTATTTAAACAGATGCTTTATATTTGCTAGTTGTCCTACACTTAACAGCTTACTTGATATCATACTGAAGTTATTTATTTCTGACTTGTATTATTCTTTGTGGCTTCGCTTAAGCCAGTTTATCAGGCCGTGCCATAGCTCAAGCGGTCAGTTGCTGGCTTCCCGGGTTTGATCCCGGGTCTGGTCAAGTGGGATTTGTGGTGGACACAGTGGCGCTGGGGTGGATTTTCTCCAAGTACTTCGGTTTCCCCTGCCAATCTTCATTCCACCAAATTCTCCATCGTCATAATCACCTGGGGCAGGTACAACAGGCCAATCAGTGGCCGCCATGCTGAGTGGACCAAGCTGGACCCCACCCCCCACTAAGCGAAGCCAGTTTATTCTTTGAGAATCCCAGTAACTTGTGATCAGTATAGGTGTTCTTAGATGATTCCTGTGTATGTTGGTGAAATGACTGAAATAATAAGAACTGCATTACATGTTTAAGAAGTGCTTGTATTGTCTGCATTTCTTTGCATAACTGATATTTGTATTGCATGTATTTTTGCCCTGAAATAGATTCTTTGTATTAGATTCAACAAATGAGTTTCTATGTACATTTTACAGTGGCTGATGTGCATTGTCACAAAATTACGAAATCGTGCTAAGTGCTTTGTATGAATTGAACAGATGGTTCTGTTCAGTGCATAGTTTGTTTATATTTCTTAATGGTTTATTTAATGATTATGTTTGTAATCTGGACTATACATTTTCAAATGATAGGATTGTTAGCAAATAATGAATTAGAAAGGATGTGGAAAAAATGATCATGTCCTAATTTGAGGAGGAATGAATAAAACCATAAAAACTGGTCTCTGAGCTGGGATCTGAACCCAACATCTTACAATTATAGTATGAGAAGAATGAATACAAGAATACAGTGGAATGTGTCCAGTTTTTAATTACTGAATAATTATGATGCCATACACGTTTCAGCCTCAGATGTCCGTTTTCAGGGGTGTTCAGTGTTAAGAGAAAACTTTTGAACTGATCATAAAACATCATGCACATTTCAAAATAATATTGTAACAGATTTGATCAATGCGTTGCTGAGCAATGGCTCAACAAACAGGCTGCAACAATAGAGGGGAAACTGTTTTCTTTGTGGTCTGTGCTGAGCAAAAGCACATTGCCAGGCAACACAGCGGTATCTGCAGTAAGGACTGCTGTCAAATTAAATGGTTGATAAGATAAAAGTTTTTGTGATGTTATTGAAGGTAAGATTTAGGGGTATATAATTTCATCTTCTGTGAAGAAATTGTGAGTTTATAAATGTCGTGATAGTAAACTGTCCATTATTTCATTAACTTTGAGATTTTCTGAGATACCAAAAATAGGATCCTTGATATATATGTACACAAACAGTCTTCAGTGTATCTGTCTATGCAGTTCTTGATTTAAGTACTACTTCTCACTGTGTACCTTTTACCATTTCAGTTTTGATGATACAGACCCTTCAACAATTGCTGAAAATGCTTCTCAGGTTGAACTGCTAGTTCCAATTCGACTGGACATGGAAATAGAAGGACAGAAGTTGCGTGATACTTTCACATGGAACAAAAATGGTAAGACCAATAAATACGAGGGTTGGAACTTTAATAATGGCAACTATTTATTTACAGCTGATACAAAATAGATGCATGTTTCAAAGTTTTACTGTCCTCTGGAACAGTTCTGAAGCGAATGCCACAAAGTGGTTCCTTCATCTTGGGAATCAAGTCGAAGTCACAAGGGCTTAAGTCTGGGGAGTATGGTGGATGGTACAGCACTCCCAGCCCCATCAATCAAACAAATAAGCCATAGCTTGCACTGCATGCAGCCAAGCACTGTCCTGCAAAATGATGGGTGGGTTCTGCAGAAAGTGTCGCCGCTTCTTTCTCAAAGGTGGTCGCAGGTTGTGTTCCAAAAATGAACACCAATACTGCACATTGACGGTCTGCTGTCAGGGAATGGTATGCGGTTGGATAACACCATCACAGTTGTACACAAGAATCACCATAACTTTCACATTGCTGGGGTTCTGACGAACTTTTGTTTTTCGTGGTGACCCGTAATGATGCTGTTTGTTCGATTGGCGTTTCGTTTTCATATAATTTGGCCCATGTCTCATCCAGCATAAGAGATCCTCTCCTTCACGCTCATAACGCTACAAGTGGTTACAAGCAGCGTCATATCGTAGCCATTTCTGCATTTCTGTCAAATCATGTGGAACCCATCATGATGCATGTAACTAATGTGTGGTATCAGCAACATTATTTGGTTCCATTGTATGGTGTCTCTACAGCAGTGTTGCCACTATTAAAGTTCCAACTCTCGTATATGACAGTAAACTCTCACCTTGTGAATTATTAAACTCAGTGTCTGGCAAAAAGTATGAAGTTTATGAAATGTAATATCTGTAGTGTTATCAAAATGGAATTGTATCTGAAAAGCCAAGACAAGAGAAGGATGCAAAACTGCAAAGAACAAATTTTTGTTCTGTATAAAAATTCGGATTCATTGTAATTAAACTTTTTGAGTTAATGTCTTGAGTACCTGGTATTTGAAGGATGAAATGTTGAAATCAGGTGCCAGAGGTCTTGTTCCATTTGAGATAATTCTGCATGACTTTCCAGCCTCACACTCTGACAAAGTCAGAACTTTTGAATGTAGGGAATACTGTACCATGGTTTGGGTTTCATTTTAGGGTGTAGGTCTCCTCTGATGGCCATCATCTTTATTGGGACAGATGGAATCTGATCCAGTTAATGTTTCCCTGTCATGAGGATTTCTTCACACTTGCCAGGCATTCAAAACACAAGCCTTTCAGTGAGCAGTGACTGTGTACCTCTGTTTCAGAGAGTTTAATCACTCCAGAACAATTTGCTGAGGTTCTGTGTGATGATCTGGATCTGAACCCATTGACATTTGTACCTGCAATAGCTCAGGCCATACGTCAGCAGATTGATGGCTTTCCAACAGACAGCATTATTGAAGAGAACTGTGACCAAAGGGTTATTATCAAGGTAACTGATCTCATGGAGCATGGTCCTTATTGAGAGTCCAGTAGCCACTCAGCTAGTGAAGAAATTTTTTACCTTTTGTGAAACCTGGAGTTTCAGTAGCTGGCTATACATGTACAGTTTCTCTGATAGTTTTGGACCATCATGGCTCTGATCTTTGGAGGTAGTTTGTATGTACGAGGGGGTACCCAAAAGAAACCAAACTTATTTTTTTTTAACTTATTTATTCAAATTTTAAGCACAAACCTTCAATCCCCTTCAAAGTACTCTCCACTTACACTAATACACTTGTCTAGTCTTTTATTCCATTTTTCAAAACATTGTCTAAATTCATCTTTTGAGATGCTTGACAGCGCCTCCGTCGTTTTTTCCTTCACCTCAGCAACATCAGCAAAACGCTTTCCTGTCATGTCTCTTTTCATTCAAGGAAACAAAAAAAAGTCGCACGGGGCAAGGTCGGGTGAGTATGGAGGGTGAGGAACAGGGGTCCTACCATTTTTGGTCAAGAATTGTCGTACAGACAGGGCTGTGTGAGCAGGGGCATTGTCATAATGGAAAAACCAGTCACCCGACTGCCACACGTCACTCCCGACAGCTCCACAATTTCTTCAATGGTCCGTCGTCGATCTTCCTTGATGATTTCACGAATTTTTTCAACATTTTCATGTGTTCGGGCCATGGAAGGATGACCAGAACGAGGTTTGTCATCAATTGACATTTCACCATTTTTGAAACGGGAAAACCACTCAAACACATGAGTTTTCCCCATAGCATCGTCCTTGTATGCCGTTTTTAACATTTCAAGAGTTTCTGTTCCACTTTTCCCGAGCAAAAAGCAGAATTTCACCGCCGCACGGTGTTCACGAAAATCAGCCATTGCAAAAACGACGATCACACAAAACAGTTGTCACTATAAACTCTGCCGAAACTAGTCCTTACCTTCTGAAGCAACGGTAGTCAGCTTATCAACTCAGGAATGTTAGCTCTATGCGCTCATAGCGGGAAAACGCGGTACTACAAAAGCTCTGCCCACAAAAAAATTAGTTCGATTTCTTTTTGGTACCCATCTTATGCACATATGCCACCCTAGTCAAGGTCTGTTCAAACTACTTCTAGAGATTTTAAGTGCAGTTCTGCAGTCCTCACATATATGGATTTGGAACTGGTAGTTTCTAGCAGCAAAGCTATTTGAAAGAGTTCTGCCTTTTGGGGTGTAATTACATGTAGAACTCTGAAATGTCAGTTGACTTTCACTGAACTATACTGGCATTGTATCACACAAGATAGGAATTTTCATAACTGCTGCTGTGAGAATATCAAATCCAGCAGTGGTGTTATTTGTGTTTATCTCAAAGGGCACGAATACATCTTCATTTCACATAACCAACTTTTAACCCATCTGTGATGACGTTCAGACATAATCATTAATAATTAATATACAACACAGTCCAGTAAAATAGCACATTGTTTCATCTGCAAACACATAACTTCCATGTTGACAGAAGAACTGAGGGTCAAGTATTTGCCTAAAGTGAAAGATTTTCAGTCCACATCAACTTTGCAGATTTCTTGCCAATGAGTTATGACAGTTTTGATCGTATGCAGGCTTAATTGCAGATGTTTCTGCTGCAGTTCAAAGTCACAGATGAAGACAGTGTGTGCAGAATTGCAGTGTTCAGAAGAACTTGCCATTGGACTGTATTCTGATCCAGTTGAATCCAGTCCACACCTTAACATTCAATTTCTTTAACTCTTCAATGCTGCTGTATATGTAAATACTAGCTGTTGTTCAAAAAATGAACCCACTGAAATTTGAGTATCTTTTGATCTAATGAACAAATTTGTTTGAAAGTGTTGAAGTATATACTTAAAAATCTTTTAGAATTTAAATATATTTGAAAATAATACATTATTTTTCATTATCTTAATTATATTTTGTATGGTAATCTGATTTATGCCAAGCTTATTGCAAGCCTCAGGTTGGAAGATGATGACACACCCTTCTTATTCCCCATGTGATGTACTCTGTGTTTTCTTTGATGAAGAATCCATATTTATTGACATCAGTTTGAATCTTCATGTTAAATAAACAAAGAAATAAATTAAATTGGTTGTGTATTCAAGCACTCAGGTATTAAAAAATGCATGTTATCAGTATGGACATTTAGTTTATTTCTGCACTTTTTGTTTCCTTTTGTAGTTGAACATCCATGTTGGCAATACTTCTCTAGTGGATCAGGTTGAGTGGGATATGAGTGAAAAGGATAACAACCCAGAACATTTTGCAATGAAATTATGTGCAGAACTGGGTTTGGGAGGTGAATTTGTTACAGCAATTGCATACAGTATCCGTGGACAGCTTAGTTGGCATCAAAGGACATATGCATTTAGGTATGTAATATTGTCCTTGAAATTATTGTTCGTTTCTTTCACAGTTTACAAAGAATCAATGAATATATAATCATTTTTATAGGTGTTCAGATGCAGAGGGGAGATTCTGAATATCACATTTGGTGTGGTCTTGGATATATAGTATAATCAGATGTCCTACCATTTATTCCATTGTAATAGACATATAAGATGTATTTTATTCTGTTAATTCATTGGCCTGCTTACTGGCAACTTGCTTTTGCGAGACCTGTAGGAGAGGACATTGTCAAAAAGAAGCTAAAGATGAATAACAGTATTGAATCCCTAAGAAATAAATGCTTGTTGTGAGAGTATCAAAATTAGATCCTCAAACACTGGTAGGCATGTTGCTCCTTCATTATCTAACTGAAAACAAGAAATACTGGGGATCCTTGACTGCACTCAGGCAAGCAAAGGGACTCATATGAGGACCCTCAGCTAAAAAAGTGAAGGAACTGTTGAAGTTAAACAGGAACCAGCTGTGATGGACGGTGGGACTACTTACAGGACACTGTACCTTAAAGGACACCTCTTCAAACTGGGACTAAGTGATAGTCCCACTTGTGAGAGGTGTCAAGAAGAAAATGAAACAGCCACACATATCCTGTGTGAATGTGAGGCCTTAGCTTATTTAAGATTATGTCACTTGGGTCAATACTTTATGGAACCAAGCGACTATTTCGAAACCCCCACATACAAAATCCTGTGCTTCCTGAGGGGATAATCAAAAGGGGAAGCACAATGGACCACTGAAGGTCGCGGTGCAAGGGCCGAGAAGGCCCACCCCTTATACATACATTCATCTAACTGAAAGGAGTTAGAGAAAAACCTTCAAAATATGTTGATGTACTCCGAAGATCCTTACCAGATGTCTTGTGGTCTGACTGGAGCCAGGGTATCAATTCAACAATTTGTTTAGGGCAGTTGTCCTGCTGTTAAAGAACTGAACAGTCTTAGTCATGTTGTTTTAAAATGTTTATGATGTTTTATGACCAGATTTAAAGTTACTTAGATATTATCCTTACTGGGGGGACTATGTGCTGCCCTTCATTCCCAAGTTTTTATTAGTTACTGATGCAGGTAGTTGTAATTGAGATGCTGGAGCTGAGTTGACATGTGGAATTCTCCTTTCTTTTGTTATTAGTGAAGCTCCTCTTCCTACAGTAGAAGTTCCTTTTCGGCCACCATCTGAAGCTGACCAGTGGTCACCATTCCTTGAGACTCTCACTGATGCTGAGATGGAAAAGAAAATTCGTGACCAGGATCGAAACACTAGGTAATTTTTGACTGAAATCACCAAACATTTTACCCTACATAAGTGCAGAATGGATGTGGAAGCTGACCCCTCACCTCCAACTAGTGCCGAGGTTGAGAGAACTGGATCTATACATCCACTCCCCTGTACATCCTCATGGTGTAGTGCTTAATTAGTTAAGCACAGGGACAACTTTACATTTTAACTTTACTAATTTATATTGACAGAAGAGGGCAGCAGAGAAACAGAGCCTGTGACTGAAAGGTTTGAAATATGCCATAGTTGCTTTGTCTCCAGCTCTAACCATTTCATAAATGTAACATCATTCTGTTCACAGTTTATACTAAAAGACAAAACTTACGTCTGCAAAAGTAGTTTTGAGTCAGTGCCAAATGCATGTTACTGTCACCTTACTCGTATGTCCATTAAAATATGTTAACACATTGGAATCTCATAATTACATTTTCCATCAAGGAACTTTCACATTTGTAATGTTCAGTTTTTATGGATATCAGCCTAGTTCCACAAAGGTTGATATTTACACACTTCTTTTTTTGACAAAACTAGAGGCGTAGCCTGTATACAGGCCAGACCATTCTTATTGGCAGAATTCTCTAAATACATATCTATGCCTGTTTCTATTCCTGTGACTCATTACATGCTCCATTATATTGAGAGTGTCAAAAGAAGTTGCATGTCTCCTACTGATGCAGCCCCCTAGAGCCCTCTTTTATCAAGCCCAAAGTATCTGTTGCTGGCAGAAGTTGTCACTGCCAATATTCAGTACTAGACTGTATGCAGGGAGTTTTTAGTTCACCCACAAAGACACTCATATCTGTAGAAAATAGCAACAACCATGAAATCATTTTGTTTCTTCTGTAAAATTTCATTGCAGTGACTCCATTCCCATTTCAGAACAATGGTCAAAATACAGGGTGTCCCAGGAGGAATGTGCCAAACTTCGGGAGGGTGTTCCTTATGTTAAAGTATGCCGATATAACCCAAAACACCTATGTCCAAAGTTGAACGGTTACGGAGATAATGGCCCGAGAAAAGTGTGGGCTTCT